GTTCAATTTTTGGGTAAAATTTTTTTAGTCGATATCCTTATATAGAAAATGATCTACATTCACCCTACCTTTAAAAATATTTTTTAACTTTAAAATAAAGATAACGACAATTACTATTGTTATTTTAATTATTTAATACAGTATATATAATATAAAATAGATAAATAAATTCTAAAATATTGTATATTATAATTGTATAATATATATACATGCTGTATATATATTAATATATATATATGTATTTTTTATTTTTTTTTAGTATATATATACCAACAAATAAATTTATTTAAATAAAATGCATTTATTCAAACTTTGCTATAGGTATTGCAGAGTAAAAACCTGTAACTAATTATTGTAATCATTAAGTTCAGATATAGGTTTTTATTCTGCAGCACTCATACTTTTTAAATGTTCTATATTAGCAATTACATCTATAATCCATTTTCCAGTTGAACTATTGTCGTCAAGAGTATCTTCTATATAGATATCTTCACTATTTTCACCTTTTGGCACCCACTTAGCTCGGGTTACCGCGCAATATCTGACATCAAACCAAGAACTACTACCTTTAGAACATGCATTTTGAATAGCATTAAAACACCAGCCGTGTGTTACAAGTATCAAAACTATGTCTTTTAATGGATCTTGACAAAGACGTTCCATAAATGGGTCGGTAATTTTTTCAAATGCATTGCTACAGCGTGCCAAAGCATCCATTATTCCTTCTGGATGAACTGGTAACTTTGTCGCTATAGGTGCATATTCAAAATCTACTTTAAAACAAAGTTGAGACTGTTGTTGGTCTTGTTCTGAGTCTTGATATTGTTGGTTAAGAAGGCATAGCTCTTTAACACGAGAATCGATTATGCTGTTAGGAATAGCTTTTTTATGATAATGCCAATCTGCGAGAGCAGGTTCGATCCTAAATCGTAGAGAATCAATTGGCAAATTTGGTTGGTTGGAAGAAATACCTTCAGCAATTCCGATGGCTGTTTCTACAGTTCTTAAAAATGGGCTAGTATAAATTATATATTCTACTTTTCTTTGATGATTAATGTCTTTGACTGTCTCAAGTTGAATATCATGAATATAAGCGCCGGTCCTTTTAGCTTGCCTTTTACCTTTGGGTGTTAATGGGGTATCATATGGTGTAGGTGATGTATATATGAAGTTAGGATCGACTAAATCCACACGTTCGCCATGACGAATAATGAAAAGAGTAAGTGACATTTTTTAAAAAAGATCTTTTTTTTTCTTTTTTTTTTTAGGCAGAAGACGTAGAGATGAAAATCGTAGCTAGTCCTTTTATATCTTTACATCATGATCGTCAGAATGCGGACTATGCGGATTTTGAAGCCCGTCAAACAATAAATTATTCAAATAACGATAAATTAATAGTAGTACACTTTTTTACTTGTAGTACGAGCGGACCTATTTTATTTATTTATTTTTTTTTTTAAAAAATATACCTTCATTTCCAAATAATCCTATCCATAACCCTGTATATAAACTTTTGTCTACATGGAACCACCAATAAAAAAAGCCACTACCTCAATTTCATCCGAACGGGATAATATTGATAAACTTACTAAAGAAAACAGAGCCTTAAAACAAAAGGTTGATAACCTGGAAAAGGAAAATAGGTCACTAAAAAAATCCATCTATGATTTGACGGTGAAATATACAGCAGCAGCCGCAGCGCATCAACAAAGGATTAGCCCATTTATGATTGATTTTGAAGAACCACAAGAAGGTGGTGGGAAAGAAATTAACTTGGGAAATTCAACTGGTAAATTCAGGATTATTTTTTAGATACTTCTTTAGTTCTATATTCAACGATCTTGATAATGGATTTCAATATAGGTAATAATGCCCGGGAAAATATTCGAGAAAGAAGGACGTTTCATCAAAAATCGGAATTTAAGGTTTAAAAATTTTTAATCATTAATTTAATAAATGCCTTGCCTTCGATATATATTAAAATGTTTAATATTGTTTTTCGATTTTCAAACGAGTATTTTAGGGCCATAGTGGTGGTGTGGCTGCAATACAATTTTCTCCATGTGGAAAGATGCTTGCTTCTGGTTCTTTAGACAAAACAGTACGAATATGGGACACCATATCTCTACAAAAAGAGGTGAAATATGCTCTATTAAGGGAAGTGATAGATATTACGTAATATCTTGAGAAGTCATATATTCATCCAAAAAAAAAAAAAAAACAGAATGTTAAAAAATCTTATAGGGAATAAAAGTTATATAATATCTGACTTCCCTAAGCGTTTTATCATTATTTCAGTCAAAAAAATTGCATAAACTTACACGCATTTAATTAGCAAGCTTGCTTAAAGGGACACACGCTCAACGTTTCAGACGTGTGTTGGTCAAATGATTCTAGTGCAGTGTTGTCAGGGGCATATGATCAAACATGTAAAATTTGGGATATTGAGACAAATAAAAATACTCATACGTACGAAAGTGATGGGTTTGTTCAATGTGTAATGTTTAACCCACAAGGTACTTATTTACAACTACTAGTCGTCTGTCAACTTTGTATATCATTTTATTTATTTGCCTTTCGTTAGATAACAATATCTTTGTAAGTGGGTCTTCCCGTAAAGTTTTGGCAATCATAGATATTCGGACACCTGAAAATGCGTTGAGCTTTAAAGATGATGATGGGATGATAAATTCTCTTTATATTTTTCGGAATGGACAACATATTATCACAGGTGACTCGTTGGGATACGTAAAAACCTGGGATATTAGAGCTGGTTAGTATTTATTACTCACAAGTTATAAAATTTAAATACAAATACATTCACATAAACTTGTCTTTATTGTAGGCTCTGCCTTTCAGTCATTTTTAAATGAGACAACAAAAAAGCCTGTTTCTCATATTGCCGTATCGAGAAAAAGTCTTGGTGATTTTTTTTATTGTAAACCGGTTTTATTATCATGTAATTAAATTTAATGAGTTTGTTTCTCTTTCAGATGGGGAAGAACCGCGATATATGGCAGTTAATAGTTATGACAATTGTATGTGAACGTAAATGAATTTTAGGAGCGAAATTAATTTATCTAATCTGACAATGATTTCTAAATTATCAAGTAATAAGAATTTATGATCGCGGAATAGAACCGCCTAAAATCCAACCGCGATTGATACATATCTTAAAAGGCTACAAGAATAAGGGATGGCCAATTAAGAGTTCATTTTTCCCCGGAAAAGATTGTATGCATTTTATCGGTAGAACCATTTAAAAGTTGTTACAAATATATAAAATATATGAGTAATACGAATATTGAGCAGTTGCATATATATAGATCAATATTATACCGCGCAAAGAACACAAACTAAAGATATTTACGATGTACCTGAACAAATCGATTCTGTTGACAATGTTTTGTAAGGATATTATTTATTTGTCATGTTTTTTGACAAATCGACAAGCAAATTGTTAATTATTCGACAAATTTCAAAGTAGTTATGAGAAGGATAAATTATTAGAAGCAAGTTTATTGTTAGCTACGGGTAGTGCGGATCCATACGCGTATTTATTTAACGTTGGTAGTCCGGAGGTAATCATCTTTTTTTAGTTTAATTCATGATTAATTATTTCCATATTTAATAAATATATTTGATCAAATAGGGAACTGGAGAATTGTTACAACGTTTAGAGGGTCATACTGATTTCGTTTATGCTGTAGATTTTCATCCTTTTGAACCGATACTGGCGAGCTGTTCTGCAGATTTCACCATAAAAATATGGGTACCCAATGCTAGAGGTAAAAAGAAAATGTAAAAAATGCATTTACATTTGGTAGAGTGTAAGTATATCAAAAGTTGTAATTATATTTATTTGTAAAAACAATAAACAGAAAATAAAATTATCGTTATAAGGTTAAATACGGATGATTTATGAGCGTAACGCGTCAATAAAATGAGGTGATCGGATATTTTAAAGTCGATTGACTAGATTAAGCCGAGAAATTTTATCGGTTTGACATGCCGGCACAACTCGGACAATCCACATCCCTAAAAAACAATTGCCAGTCATATTAAACGAAGAAAATATATTCTATATAAGAATATATATTATTTGTTTAGATAAAGATTAATAGATTTTTTGAGTTATTACCGTATTTCTCTGACACGTGTATCAATGTCTGTTATAAATGCATAGCATATTTGCGGATTTGCAGAATTGGTATATATAATTATAAAAAACATTAAATAGCAATCGTATATTTTTTGGTCACTAAAATTTAGGATGCATTTTACAACCATGTAAACCCAATTCCGCAACTCCGCCGATATGGTATAAATTTTTTTTTTTTTTTTCTTTATTCTCTATTAAAAATTTT